ATGGTCTCTCGTGACCACAGTGACCAAACATATCAATGTCGCTACACTCTGAAGCCGAGTTAATGGTCCAATGACCACAGTGACCAAACATATCAATGTCGCTACACTCTGTAGCCGAGTTAATGATCCAGTGACCAAAGTGACCAAACATATCAATGTCGCTACACTCTGAAGCCGGGTTAATGGTCCAATGACCACAGTGACCAAACATATCAATGTCGCTACACTCTGAAGCCGAGTTAATGGTCCAATGACCACAGTGACCAAACATATCAATGTCGCTACACTCTGAAGCCGAGTTAATGATCCAGTGACCACAGTGACCAAACATATCAATGTCGCTACACTCTGAAGCCGAGTAAATGATCCAGTGACCACTGTGACCAAACATATCAGTGTCGCTACACTCTGAAGCCGAGTTAATGATCCAATGACAACAGTGACCAAACATATCAATGTCGCTACACTCTGTAGCCGAGTTAATGATCCAGTGACCACAATGACCAAACATATCAGTGTCGCTACACTCTGAAGCCGAGTTAATGGTCCAATGACCACAGTGACCAAACATATCAATGTCGCTACACTCTGAAGCCGAGTTAATGATCCAATGACCACAGTGACCAAACATATCAATGTCGCTACACTCTGAAGCCAAGTTAATGGTCCAATGACCACAGTGACCAAACATATCAATGTCGCTACACTCTGAAGCCGAGTTAATGGTCCAATGACCACAGTGACCAAACATATCAATGTCGCTACACTCTGAAGCCGAGTTAATGGTCCAATGACAACAGTGACCAAACATATCAATGTCGCTACACTCTGAAGCCGAGTTAATGATCCAGTGACCACAATGACCAAACATATCAATGTCGCTACACTCTGAAGCCGAGTTAATGGTCTCTCGTGACCACAGTGACCAAACATATCAATGTCGCTACTCTCTGTAGCCGAGTCAATGGTCTCGTGACCACATTGTCTCAAACACATTAATATCGCTACACTCTGTGACAAAAGACTTTCACTTATTCCAAACAGATATTCACTAAAAAGCTTATTTTTAACAAATAACCTAAACGAGCTCAAACGTCTATCAATTGTTTTGGTATTTACCACACTGAATGCTTAATCTAAATGCACACAGCCTTCTTGATGCACATATTATAATTTATCTCTGTACTGTATGTATGCTCTTGTACCACCGTGGGTGAGAAATAAAGAATCTGAATCTGAATCTGTAACCGAGTGAATGGTCCAGTGACCGCAGTGTCCAGTGTCCAAACATATCAATGTCGCTACACTCTGTAACGGAGTTAGTGGTCCAGTGACCGCAGTGTCCAGTGTTCAAACATATCAATGTCGCTACACTCTGTAACGGAGTTAGTTGTCCAGTGACCGCAGTGTCCAGTGTTCAAACATATCAATGTCGCTACACTCTGTAACTGAGTTAGTGGTCCAGTGACCGCAGTGACCAGTGTCCAAACATATCAATGTCGCTACACTCTGTAACTGAGTTAGTTGTCCAGTGACCGCAGTGTCCAGTGTCCAAACATATCAATGTCGCTACACTCTGTAACGGAGTTAGTGGTCCAGTGACCGCAGTGTCCAGTGTCCAAACATATCAATGTCGCTACACTCTGTAACGGAGTTAGTGGTCCAGTGACCGCAGTGTCCAGTGTTCAAACATATCAATGTCGCTACACTCTGTAACGGAGTTAGTGGTCCAGTGACCGCAGTGTCCAGTGTCCAAACATATCAATGTCGCTACACTCTGTAACGGAGTTAGTGGTCCAGTGACCGCAGTGTCCAGTGTTCAAACATATCAATGTCGCTACACACTGTAACTGAGTTAGTTGTCCAGTGACCGCAGTGTCCAGTGTTCAAACATATCAATGTCGCTACACTCTGTAACTGAGTTAGTTGTCCAGTGACCGCAGTGTCCAGTGTCCAAACATATCAATGTCGCTACACTCTGTAACGGAGTTAGTGGTCCAGTGACCGCAGTGTCCAGTGTCCAAACATATCAATGTCCCTGTACACTGTAACGGAGTTAGTTGTCCAGTGACCGCAGTGTCCAGTGTTCAAACATATCAATGTCGCTACACACTGTAACGGAGTTAGTGGTCCGGTGACCGCAGTGTCCAGTGTCCAAACATATCAATGTCGCTACACTCTGTAACGGAGTTAGTTGTCCAGTGACCGCAGTGCCCAAAGATATCAATGTCGTAACGCTCTGTCACCGAGAGCATGCGACTGTCCTTTTTTATGTGGTACACCAATATCCGGTAATATTTCAAGTTCTTATCGCCACTATACATTACCTGGATACAGTAGAACATAGTCATGCAGTGTGGAGATGGAAGTGTGTATACGGGAGTTTCATGTGGAGATGGGAATGTGTGTATATGGCAGCCCAAAGGAGGAGATGGAAGTGTGTATACAGGAGCTACATGTGGAGATGAGAATGTGTGTATACGGGAGATACATGTGTAGAAGGGAATGTGTGTATACGGGAGATACATGTGTAGAAGGGAATGTGTGTATACGGGAGATACATGTGTAGAAGGGAATGTGTGTATACGGGAGATACATGTGTAGAAGGGAATGTGTGTATACGGGAGATACATGTGTAGAAGGGAATGTGTGTATACGGGAGATATATGTGGAGAAGGGAATGTGTGTATACGGGAGATACATGTGGAGAAGGGAATGTGTGTATACGGGAGATACATGTGGAGAAGGGAATGTGTGTATACGGGAGATACATGTGGAGAAGGAAGTGTGTATTAGGGAGCTACATTTGTAGAAGGGAATGTGTGTATACGGGAGATACATGTGGAGAAGGGAATGTGTGTATACGGGAGATACATGTGTAGAAGGGAATGTGTGTATACGGGAGATACATGTGGAGATAGAAGTGTGTATACGGGAGATACATGTGGAGAAGGAAGTGTGTATTAGGGAGCTACATTTGTAGAAGGGAATGTGTGTATACGGGAGATACATGTGGAGAAGGAAGTGTGTATTAGGGAGCTACATGTGGAGAAGGGAATGTGTGTACGGGAGCCTAATGGAGGAGATGGGAGTGTGTTAACCGGAGCCCAAAGGAGGAGATGGAAGTGTGTATACGGGAGCTACATGTGGAGATGGGAATGTGTATACAGGAGATACATGTGGAGATGGGAATATGTGTATACGGGAGATACACGTGGAGATAGAAGTGTGTATACGGGAGATACATGTGTAGATGGAATTGTGTATACGGGAGATACACGTGGAGATAGAAGTGTGTATACGGGAGATACATGTGTAGATGGAATGTGTGTATACGGGGGCTACATGTGGAGAAGGAAGTATGTATATAGGAGCCTAAAGGAGGAGATGGAAGTGTGTATACGGGAGCTATATGTGGAGATGGAATTGTGTATACGGGAGCTACATGTGTATATGGAATTGTGTATACGGGAGCTACATGTGGAGAAGGAAGTGTGTATACGGGAGCTTAAACGAGGAGATGGAAGTGTGTATACGGGAGCCTAATGGAGGACTAGAAGTGTGTGTACGGGAGCCTAATGGAGGACATTGAAGTGTGTATACGGGAGCCTAATGGACAACATCGTATTTTCTTTACGGGAGCCTTATGGAGGAGATGGAAGTGTGTATAGGGGAGCCTAAAGGAGGAGATGGTAATGTGTATACGGGAGCCTAATGGAAGAGATGGAAGTGTGTATACGGGGGCCTAATGGAGGACATGGAAGTGTGTATACGGGAGCCTAATGGAGGACATGGAAGTGTGTATACGGGAGCCTAATGGAGGACATGGAAGTGTGTATACGGGAGCCTAATGGAGGAAATGGAAGTGTGTATACGGGAGCCTAATGGAGGAAATGGAAGTGTGTGTACGGGAGCTACGTGTGGAGATGGGAGTATGTCCTCCTAATCTAATTTTCAATTGACACAATTCCCCACATCTTCACCTGACACTATCCTCCACATGTTCACCTGACACTATCCCAAAAATCTTCACCTGACACTATCCTCCACATGTTCACCTCACACTATCCCCCACATCTTCACCTCACACTATCCTCCACATCTTCACCTGATACTATCCCCAAAATTTTCACCTGACACTATCCTCCACATGTTCACCTGACACTATCCCCCACTTCTTCACCTGACACTATCCTCCACATATTCACCTGACACTATCCTCCACATGTTCACCTGACACTATCCTCCACATCTTCACCTCACACTATCCCCCACATGTTCACCTGACACTATCCTCCACATCTTCACCTGACACTATCCTCCACATGTTCACCTGACACTATCCTCCACATATTCCCCTGACACTATCCCCCACATCTTCACCTGATACTATCCTCCACATATTCACCTGACACTATCCCCCACATCTTCACCTGATACTACCCCCCACATCTTCACCTCACTCTATCCCCCACATATTCACCTGATACTATCCCCCACATATTCACCTGACACTATCCCCCACATCTTCACCTGATACTATCCCCCACATCTTCACCTCACACTATCCTCCACATCTTCACCTGATACTATCCTCCACATCTTCACCTCACACTATCCTCCACATCTTCACCTGATACTATCCTCCACATCTTCACCTCACTCTATCCCCCACATATTCACCTGATACTATCCCCCACATATTCACCTGACACTATCCCCCACATCTTCACCTGATACTATCCTCCACAGCTTCACTTTACTCTATCCTCTACATCTTCACCTGATACTATCCCCCACATCTTCACCTGACACTATCCTTCTCAACTTCACCTGACACTGTCCCACACATCGACCGTACCCACTGCTTCGTAACCAACATGTATGACCTAACGTCACTCAAACAGCAACCACCGTGTCAGGTAGATAACATATATACCCTTTGAACAAAAGGAACAAACTACACCTCCATTCTATTTTTACACTCGATATGGGCTGTAGTATACTGCCACTAGGCCCTTGGCAACCCGGCTATGACTGGTAACATATACATCATTGAGGAAGTAAAATAGCCCTCAATGCGCTAAGCAAAGATTGTGTAAGAGGGTACATGGTTTAGACTGACTATCGATGTTAACCAACGACCATTCTTACATGTATGTGTCAATAACTTGAACAACGTCAGGCAATTGTGCTGATATGTGTTACAATGTCTGCCGTGGGACCGTAATGGCGAACAGGTGCTTGTGTTGGTGTATTGGTTTCATGGTCCTTGTTTACCAGTCAGGTAGGTCAATAACGTTTACTCATAATCCACCGTGTGTGTGTGTGTGTGTGTGTGTGTGTGTGTGTGTGTGTGAGAGAGAGAGAGCGAGAGAGAGAGAGAGGGGGAGAGAGGGAGAGAGTTCTGTTTCCGTGGAGCAGAGGCACGGATGTGTGATGTGAGTCGGGGTTTGATTGTATTGGTGTAGGGCTACTCATTATAATTCTATAAAATGGTCCTCCCGAAGCTGAATGTGAAGGGTTCAGGTATAACCTGCAGCGTCACGCGGAAGACCCGGAATAGATTCCCTACATGACAAACAGTTGTACAGCCCATTCGTGGTGTCCGATAACATGAAAACTAGGATCGTGATAAAGGTGTAAAACCGCTCGCACATCCGAGCGAGGAGTTGTAAATTAGATGTAACCAGGAAGTGAGGTTACAATGTAATCGATAATTATACTATCGTCCGTCCCTTTATTATTACTTGGTTTGCAGATTTATTTATCAAACCTTAAGGTTTAAAGAGAATTAAAAACTTAATAGAAATATCTTATACTATTTTTCGTCAGGTGAATTAAAGAAACGAATGAAATAAAAGAAAAAGAGTTTTGAAAAGTCAAATTGAAGGGATGTACTTATTACTGAAGTTAGTCAGCATGAGGAAATATAAGTAAATTGTAGATAATGAATTTAGTTTTGGTCGGCGATATGGGTGTGATATGGGTGTTATATAACTGTTACATTGATGATATATATTTTGGTCTGATATTGGTTCGTTATTGGTGTAATATAGGTGTGATATGGGTGTGATGTAGTTGAGATATTGGTGTGATATGGTTGTTTTATTAATGAGATATTGGTGTTGTAATATAGGTGTTATATAGTTGTTTTATTAATGACATATTTGTGTTGATATTGGGGCACATGTAATATCGGTGTGATATGGGTGGTATTTGGAATTTTGGTGTAATGTGCGTTGGCTCAGTGAGTAAGTGAGAAAAGGTACTTTGTTTAATGCCGATTTAGACATAACCTATATCACGGCTTGTCAGTTTGATGTGAGAGAAAAGTTCGGAGTGAAACAGGTCTTAGACGTTTACCAGTTTGGTGAAACCTACGAGCATAGATATAGTGCTGACAAAGCAACAAAAAAATCAGGGAAAACCGGGATTCGAACCAACGACCATAGATGCAACTTTGCACAGCGAATATGCAGCGCCTTAGTTGACTGGGCCGTTAATAACAATTAGAAGTAGTTGCAGTAACTTCAAATTATGCATTGCAAGCCGAAGAGTCGGTACGCGTCAACGGGTAAGGAGTATTTTACACATGTACTTCGTTTTCATCGAGATATTCTCCCTTTGAATTTGGGCGGTAGGGTAGCCTAGTGATTAAAGCGTTCGCTCGTCATGCCGAAGACCCGGGTTCGATTTCCCACATGAGTACAAAGTCCATTTCCGGTGTCCTCCGCCGTGATATTGCTGGAATATTCCTAGAGGCGGGGTAAAACTATAGTTTGATAACGTCGGTTGATAACGTCATGTGTACAATACGTCAATAGTTAAAAGCCACAATGTTGTTTTGTCGCACTGCTCTTTTCACAAACACCATGAAATGTGTATACACAATTACAAACGCTGATGTGAATGCCCTCACAGGAAAAAATCTACCAGTACTTTGTTTTCTTTGTGTTAGGACATTTTGTCCGGGGCAAGGGAGTTCACTGACAACTGGGAGGTATGGACAGTTATTTAACAAATTTGTTCACGTTTGTTGAACAAATGCAAGTGCTATGACAGACGGAATCTGTTTAGTCAGTAGGTAGGAACATAGAAGGTACATAACTCGTAATAGCCACTGGCTGTACTACGAACGAGTCACGGAATTGCAGTCTAGTTCAGGAAGGGTGGAAACTCGACTTTCATAGTTAGTAAAAACCCATGCCCCAGGAAGATGTATTAGGACTGCACGTCACACAATTTATTTATTTCATGTATCATGTGCCAATTGACTGTTTGCATGATTGAGTGAATATTATAAAATTGACTTAGTGTAGATGTACAATACATTTATGTTCTACTCATGTCAATTTGTAAACGACCGTAATAACCACACATGCAGATTAGACCCATTCCTCACCAGAAGGTTATAGGTAAAAAAAATACTCTTCCTATATGTACCTTCTCTTTCACCGAAAGTGTTTGTGCGTGCGTGCGTGCGTGCGTGCGTGCGTGCATGTGTGTAGAACATGGCCATTTGTACTATTTACGTACTGTTCGCCTGTAGTTCACGTTGTATGATGGAACAACCGCTCTGGTCAGTAAAAGTGACTATCGTTATATACAGAAACACAGGCTGAGGGGCAAGTATAGCCCAATGGCCTGAACGCAAAATTCCCTCTGTATAAGTACGTCTTTTAGCCATGCCAGGATGCGCTGTGGTGGGTTCGAGCTCAAGATATGTCCTGAATACTACCCGTTCTGAGCAGCATACCCGTGCTGGTTTCACCAAAGTAGTGTATTGAACGTTCATATCTCTTCAAGGCTATCGTACATGTATTTCTGTTGTATAGGACCCAAACAAACGGAAGAAAGAATAAATGGACTGTCGACTTTTTGGATACTTTATGCCGAGGTACAAATGTATGAAATAGTTGCTTTGTGTGCTTTGCATGATGGATTGATTGGTATTCAGTGATTGAGTTTATAAAGTTCTGATAAATATGTACATCAGATTCTGTGTCATCCTATTTGCAGGGTGCCAGGAAAGCATTGATTGTGATTTTGAGTCTGATGTTTGTGCCTGGAACATGTCAGGAAAACCATGGAGGAGATCCAATGTGGGAACCCAGATTCCAGGAACTGGACCCGACTCCGGAAGGAACGGTTCGTATTTTAAATGCATAACAATCGTTTATTTCTTAATACAAAAGCATTTTTCTGATGAAATCGTTTGAATTTTTCGTAGATGAACATGCTAGATTGTACTCCAGACGACTAGAGCTGCTGGAATATTGCTCGACATAAAGGGAAACATGACACTTGGAAAGTTGAAGTCATCTACCTTACCATAGTCTTGTGTCAGACTCTTCATGGAAATATCGAAATAGGGAACAGATACGGCGGTTTCACTGGTGCTTATATTTCTAGTTCAGTTGCGTTACTACTTAGTACTATTCACGTGTTTTGATTTTACCAGTCAGGAACAAATGGTAAACAATATCAGTTGTGTTGACCATTTGCTTAGATTGGAAACGTTTGTAAAACCCCAATCACATACATAAACAACCAACTGTTCCTGTTATATTCGGGGGAGGTCGGGTAGCCAAAGATTCCCCACGGGTACAATGTGTGAAGCCCATTTATGATGTCTCCCGCCGTGATGTTGCTTGACTATTGCTGAAAACGGCGTAAAACCATACTCACCCATTCCTATCATATCCGACTTTGAAATGGCGTACGATACCACCTGCAAACATTGCATTTTGAAATCTCTCTGTGTGTGTATGTGTGTGTGTGTGTGTGTGTTCGGTGTGTGTGTGTGTGTGTGTGTGTGTGTGTGTGTGTGTGCGTGCGTGCGTGCGTGCGTGCGTGCGCGTGCGTGTGCAGGTTCCATTTTGTGAGCTTTTTCTGATCAATACCAAGGTGCCTCACAAGGTAGCATATTATAGTTAACGTTGTTCAGTATGTGAAAGGTTTTAAAAGACTCTGTTGATGGGTCATTGTATGTTGATGACTTTACATGTATATTCCCGAGATACAATGTACACAAAATTGAGAGACAGTTGCATGTTTATCTGCATAAAGTCAACGGTTGACCACAACTTCTTGGCGTATAAGTTTTCCACATCACGGCTAACGGCATACATTTTCCCCGAAACTATGGACCACATAGTGATCAAGAATTGTATAGAGCTGGTGCTCCATAAAAATTCATGAATATCCTATATTTACCTGAAATTAATTGCCACAGATGCAATCTTATAGGAAAAAGCGTAAGTGTGACCAGACAGTCATTCTTGTACGCATCATTTATCCGTTCCACATTAGAATATGGCTCCAACATCAACAGTAGAGCCAGAAGTCTAGGCCTTGGAGCCTTCAGTACATCTTCTATTAACAGTCTGTTCGTTGAGGTAGATGAGCAATCTCTGAAACATAGACACATTAAAGCAACTTTGTAAGTCACAAAAGTACTTCTATTTATCTGTATCAGTATAATTATATATTCTGATTTATACCTTTTTATGCGGACCTTTCTTTTAGGGTAATAATCTCTTATTGCACCTCTAAATAAATAATAAACGTTATTTCTGCTGCCATTAACCTTCAAAATATAACATCTTTTATCATTAAAATGGGTTTTTTAGATTTATCGTTTTCTTCGGCAACGAAGAACGACCATCATCGTAATGTCAGAGAGCATTTTAAGGCTGGGATTATTTTGAATGGTAATTGTGGTGTACCTTTGATATACAGTAAACTACGGTTATAACGAACTCAAAGGGACCACTAATTTTAGTTCGTAATAACCGCGGCTCGTTATAAGCATATTTACAGCATATATACAACAAATGGCCGAGACTTAAAATATAGGTTCGTTATAAGCCTGTTCGTTATCAAGGTAGAATACTGTATGTGTTCCAGGCGATTTTATGACACTTCTTTGAAGCGCAAAAAACCTTCCGGAGGGCACTTTCATACAATCAATGTTTTCGTCTTGTGGTATTACTGTAAATTTAGGTCCGCCAACAGTTATCCGTGATGTTATATATATTAATTGCCACATATGTCCTTTATCTTTCCAGGCTATTATATATATTTAAAAGCGGATGACTTCAAAAATGATAACGGGATAGTTCAACCTGGAAAGTGTGTCCTGTTGAGTCCGGCTTTTAACACAACTTCCGGTGGAGGCTGTTTCCGGTTCTGGTACCACATGAACGGAGATGGGATCGGTAACCTCTCTGCAGCAGTGGTAGAAGGTTCGCCGCCATCATTTACCTTAAAATTGGATAAGGAAGGGCCACAGGGAAATGCATGGAAGTGTGGACAATTTTCCCTCAATGAAAACAAGAATAACATAAAGGTATCTGATAATGAAAGAGTTTGTGAGTTGGGTTTAACGCCGCTTTAAACAGTGTTTCAGTTATATCACGTCGTGTCTGCTTCACAGTGGGGCGAAAGCCCGAAGTGATGCAGGTCTCAGACGTTTACCATATTGGTGAAATCCACGAGCACGGGTATCGTGCTGACAAACCTAGAAACATAATCAGGGCGAACCGGGATTCGAACCCACGATCATAGGTTTCTATCGTGCCCAAGGAACGCAACTCTGCAGAGCGAATTGAGACGACTGGGCCACCCCTGCCCCCGTATACGATAATGAATGAGTGAATTGGGCTTATTGGTCACTATTTCTGTTGTGTAATGTGGCATACGTTTGATGTGGGTGACGGGTCCTTTAGCTTACAACTTTGGTGAACCCAAAGAGCTCAGGTATGGTGCTGACAGAGACTCATGATCGGGGAATCGAACCGACACTAATCGGGGATCCTCGCACGGCTAAGGATACTCACACGCGTGTTTCTTTTATGTGAACATCACACAATGATTGTTTAGCCAGTGGGTGCTATTAAAACAATTTGGTTTCATCCATCATGAATAACACTTTCGGTTGCTGAAAATTAACGTGTACCTTTTTCCACTAGTATAGGTATGCATTTGATCACTAGTATACTTGGAAACCTTAACAGCAGGCAGCTTTCGAAACTCCAAATTGAGATGCTTCCACCTATATTATGTATGAAGCTAGCTTCAGGTTTGATATTTAAACATAAATGCAATACCACAAATCCTTCAAATATGCACCATTTACGTCAAAAAACTTGAACCAACCCGTTTTACCAAGATTACCGGTGAAAATAACGTTGTTTCAGATTCAGTTGACAGCATGGTCTGGCTTGAACATTTTAGGAGATATTGCTGTCGATGATCTGAAGTTGTTTGACGCGAGATGCCCTGCACGTAAGTTGATTCACTGAACAGAAGACAAATGCCACAGGTACAGAAACAGGTCACACTGAACAAGTCAGCTAGATTACGATTGGGTGGTGGGTTGGGGTGGTCCTCTTCTCTGATGCGTCGGACTTCACTGTACAGCGTTGGTTCCCTTAATCGCTGAAAGATCCGTTGAAATCCCATATTAAATCTGATTATGATCCTTGGCTTGTCAACGCCATTACCATGCTGCTGGGTTTTATGAAAGTGTTAAATATCGATACGATACTCCGATACGATGCACCCTACATATGTGGTTGCGATAGATGAAACCTGAGCGAACCCTGACAACCAATTGTAAATGAAAGACGCGTCAATTCTTGAGTTCAATTAGACTGCTTTCTGAAACGATTCAGTTTCATTTCGTCATCGACTTGGACATTTCGGTCTCAACAAGCCCAAGCAATTTAGGATATACATTTTCACTCGATAGTACACACTTTGGGGTGTAGATGCTGTCGCGCTCAGAAACGACAGGATGTATAAAATACCCATAATCTATATCTTCATTCGGAACTGCTCTTTTATATTCGTTTTAGAGACAGAAATTAGTTATGCTGCTCCGAGTATAATAAGATTGTTGCAGTCTGTGTCACCTCTGAATGTTTCTCTGTTAGACTGACAAGACGTGATGTAACTGAAGTATTGTTCAAAACGTCTTTTCACTCAATTGGGAACAACATGAACACAATTTCCATCAACCGTTTTATAAAAACAGCTAAAGTTACGGTAGATGAAAACAGAAATGATCAGATCGCATAGGATTATATAGGCCAGATATAGGTAAACTGTTGAAGTGATGATTGAAGCATGAAACGTTGTATCAGTATTCCAATTCCAGTTTGGGCAATTTACCAGAAACTTCTTACTACATTAAATTCTCCTAACAAACTTTGTCACTTTTTCATTTATCGATAGGGAGTCTTTAAAGTATAACATCACTGCATGGGTGCTACTTGTGCATTATTGCAGGAATAGTACCAGAAGCAGGGTAATACCGAACTTACCCCCTCAAAAAATAAAAGAGCCCATTCCAAACAAAAGAGAAGAGACGACATCACAATAAATATACATGTTCACTCGTGGGTTAAGGACACCACTTGTTTTTCACCTACTGACTTGTTTCCCGAGCAGCTGCTAGCGTCTTTATATTTATCAATTAGCCAGGTTATTGGATATTGGATAAATTAAATATGATCTGATGTTATGTAAATATTGACACGTAAAGTATCTACAACTTCCAGTCTGCGTTGATGTCACGACAACACCAACCCCGACAACTTCATCACTTCTTGGCAGTACTGCGGTACCTGCATCCTCATCATCAGAATACACGACTGTTTTATCGGTAGATACAACACCAACATCGGAATTATCAGGTATCTAATATTAATGTATCTCATGACGGGGCACAGTTGACAATATCCCAACAGTCGAGTCAATTCGCCAGTTGCATCCCTTAGTCTTGCCAAGATGCGATGAGCGTAGGTTCAAATCTCTGTGGTCGTGGGTAAAATGTCTTTGTCTTGCATCCCTTTGGTTTTCGCCACCATTACACTGCCACGTTGGGATAAATTCGTTCTCATGATCACATTATTCCCATTGTTACAGAATGAAGGTGATCAATAATCTTGTATGCGAAAATGCCATGTAAAGTGAGGTTATTTTATTATCAACTCTTCTTCAACATATCTATTAGGCATGTAGCAACATTTATTAATTAATTATGAATAAATAATTATCAATTCATTTATCTAATGCAATGCTATTTTTGTAGATCTGACAAAGACGATTATCTACATCAGTGTAATCCCTGTTGGAGTACTTCTAATCGGAGCAGCCATTGCCTGTTTTTGCTATAGGTCAAGGTAATATTGACTGGATTCTTTGAACGTACACTTTGCCGATTTTACTTGATGGCAGCATTCACTACAATTACATACAGCACTTTATTCTGTTATCTGTCCATTTATCGTAAAACAATCACTTTTCAAAACGAACTATTTCGAACTATGATAATTCATTCCAAATGTTCTAAATATGCTTGCTATGCACCAATCGTGTATACGGCGTTACACAAAGAGAACGAGAAATTATGGAGCGTCAGTGACGGGAAAATTAATTTTGTAAGTTCCTAACCTTGGCGAATAACTTTTAACATGAAATTACGAACGAAAATAATTCGTTTTTTTTTACGAGTGCGTTGTTTTATGTATTATCTATAGTATTTTCCTGTGTTTCCATGTTCAGCTGTTGCTGCGTATATTATTGGAACGACTTCACATAATTCCGTTTTAACGTCGTGAACAATGGATGACTCCATCTTCTATTATTTGCGACTATGCATTTATATGACGTCGAATATTTTTTTTATATGACAGGAAAGAGAAGAAGGCAGATTTATACACTCCAGATATCCAGGAGAACCATACCAGCGAAGGGTTTCAGGAAAACGGCGAGGAGGTCTACCACGATTTGGATGACGCCACAATGCTGGAAAACGTTGAAGGTGGCTACACGATGCCATTGGAGATATTGTCTTCCATCCATGAAGGTGATACAATCGAATGTGACTACTCCACCTCTGGAGTAGCTAACGTCCATGATGAAGGTAGAGCTGAAGATGCAGATGTTGCAGACTATACTAGATTAGAACGTCACAAAATCCAGGAGGAAACTACGTCTGTTGATAGCAATTACATAGAACCCCTGGCTTCTCCCTACGACGGCACTTATGAGAGGACACAGGAACATGAAAACAGAGACTCATTGGACACCACATGTTCTCCTGAGAGGCAAACAGATGGGAACAATGTCTCTTGTAGTCCTAACTGGTTAAGCCAGCATGTGCCTGCACCAAAGACATGTGGACCTAGTTATATAACGGCCATCCACGAGCCGTAGGCATTATATTCATATACATATATGCGTTTTACCTGTGAGTGTATATAAGACAACTATATGCAGAATATGTTTGGATTAAGTAATATTTTGAAACGAGTGTGTTTTTTTATATGAGAACAAACGTTTGGGAATTTAAAGATGTAAACAGTTACTATAGTTTAACCAGATGAAGGATTTTTAAAATCAGATGAAGGAATTTTAAAATGTCAAGTTTATCATCATGTCACATTTGAAGCTCCATCACCATTAATTCAGAAAAATAATTAATTATAAAACGTCAATCAACATCTGCCGAATTAGAAATGCTTCTTCCTTGTTATTCAAAATTATTGCTCTAGTCGATGGATAAGATTGTATTGAAACCACAAACCAGCTGGGGAGTAATTTAAATGATATGGAAAGAACATAAGGATATATTTTCTTTATTTATATTGACATCTAAACATTTAACGTCATTTCATCTGCAGACTGTCAGCGACAAAAATGTTTCGTGTAGAAAACACACCATCCTGATTCTCTGATCTGGGAACCGCCTCCGTGGCCTAGGGTAGAGCGTCCGCCCGGGGAGGGGAAGGTCGGGGGTACGATCCCCGGCCGCGTCATATCAAAAGACGTTAAAAGATTTTACTTGTTGCTACCCTGCCTGGCGCTCGGTATAAAGGGGCTTAAACAAGGACTGGTCGGCTCGGAGTCAGTATATTTCTTATGAATGTGGAAAGTGTTTTGGGCTTTTATTTACAACTTCACCAAGGAGACGAATATGTCTAAGTAGCACTACCCATAAACATGTTCTTCAAACTTTTAATTTCCAAGTATGTACTAGTAACTTATTCCCGAAAGCCTAAATCAAACATGTATCACGTATAGCCTACAGCAAACATGCATCAAATATAGCCTACAGCAAACATGTATCAAGTATAGCCTACAGCAAACGTGTATCAAGTACAGCCTACAGCAAACATGTATCAAGTACAGCCTACACCAAACATGTATCAAGTATAGCCTACAGCAAATATGTATCAAGTATAGCCTACACCAAACATGTATCAAGTATAGCCAACAGCAAATATGTATCAAGTATAGCCTACAGAAAACATGTATCAAGTATAGCCTACAGCAAACATGTATCAAGTATAGCCTACAGCAAACATGTATCAAGTATAGCCTACAGCAAACATGTATCAAGTATAGCCTACAGCAAACATGTATCAAGTATAGCCTACAGAAAACATGTATCAAGTACACATGTACATGTAGCATCGGGTCTGTATAACTAAGTCAAATGTTCATAAATGGTCTGTTCAATAAATACCAGTATATTGTAAATAAAAGCGACAAAACCTTTCCATTATAATGTGTAATCACTGCTAAAACAAGTTATTCTACTATTCTAACTATACCATATACGATAAGCCTGTGTTTATTATGAATCACTATCAAGTAGAAATAATAACATGTGTTCGGGGGATACAATGCCTTAGGATACAAAGTCTGTTTCTTTGAGGATTCAAGAGCTTTTTGAAAGACATTCTTCCTGGCGTATGCTCTCATTGACAATCGATCTCGAAAACGGTTTCTGGTGAGTTCATTTTTAAGTTAAGAATATGTGTTCTAAAAAGTCTTAGAGCATGAAAAGAAAAATGTCCGTCAATGACCAATGCGTGACCATTAGTTTGTCTGTAGTTGTTTGAAAAGTACAAATATGCCAACAAAAGGATAAATTACTGAAAACGACGTCAATGTATTATTTACTTCACATTGTCGGAGAAAATAGTATAGATTTATTTTCTCTAAATCCTCATTCCATGTCAAACTTTGGTTCAAGGATTTAATCGACTGAAAACATTTTGCCTTCCCTTAATAATAATAATCGGCAACACGTCCGTCTTAAATTTAGTGGATACATATTCAAAGGGAAAACACTCTCACTGTCAAAAGATTAACTGTCCTTGACATGAAAAGGCTACGGCCCTGAGGTTGCATGCAAAACACTTTGCTTGCGTTCCGACTGAAATACATGTAAACGTCTCTGATCAAGGTAGGTTAGTTCTTCAAATATTTAGAGGTTATTGTATGGCACTTTTCATATCATACTCCATATCAAGGGCCCCATATCAGCCCGAGGGCCGAAGACGAGAGGGCTGATAATGGGGTCGAGGGTTGATATGGGGTATGATATGAAAACTGCCATATAATAACCTTTTATATCATATATCATAACATAAAATTGTAAAATGTATCTATTTGCAAGTGCAAGCATAACATTTTCATCTTGTTTGGAAGTCATTGTCACGGGAAAGCTTGCTGAACAGACGAGCAGACGCACTAAGGGACGTAACTCCATTTGTTAAAAATCCGGGCTGTTATCGATCACCCATTCAAAATGTATTGACAGCCCGGCAGGAGTTGTGATACGTCTGGCTGTTACACCCCCTGTGACATGACTGTCTCCATGTTGGCTCTATCGCACATGCAAAATGCCCTATATCATTGATAGGTATAATTATGATAATATTGTTTGTATCATCGTGTATTTTCTATTATCTGTTTGGTATATTCATCTGACGTGATGTTTATTTCGTTTACTTGGAACTTTTGTAGCATTTTGAAAAAAACAATTTCAAGTAACTACGTATAGCATCACACCAGCACATTAAGATGTGTATGCATCCACAAGGTAATTTTATGTAACACTTGTATGTATGCTGGTTATTGGTGAAAAAAAGGTTGTGTACTATCAGATGTATCTATTATAATTTTGTTTAGTTTGGATCACTCATGGCTGTTCCGGGAAAGAAAGAACATTTATTAGTGGATATCCTCAACACGTTGTCCCATTAACATACTCCACATTTCCAATTATGATGCCCTTTATATTGTCGACACACACAATTTGTTTACTTACAAAAAGCTTTCATTTGTCACATATCTCTGCTTTGCATCAACTAGATAAATGAAATTTGATAATGTATCGAGCCGTGTATTCATTAAGAGTTAAATAGCCTGCGCTTACAATGCAGACATAGGTTACCTGTTGATTTGAGTCGAACGCACAGGAATCAGAATTAACCAATCAGATTCGAGTATTTTCATAATTCTTGATAGAATTCATGTTGATTCTTAAAAAATATTGATTGTGGTAATCATGGTGACTGATGTTTGTACACGATTTCTGCTGATATGTAGGTAGTCTAGAGTTTTCAAACTTTTGTCAATGTAACCACTATTTTTAGTGAGATATCTACAGTCGAAAAGATAACACAGTCTCTGCTTATTGATGCCAGACAAAATGACTCCTGTCAAACGAGAAACTAAGCTCAGTGGTTTTACTGGTTACCGTTATTATGTGGTTCACAGGTGAACAACTGACCGGATGGTTTAAATTGTCCGTGTTTCGTAACCACAATCGACTTGAAAATGACAGACAACTAATCGCTAATAAAGATATCAATGACGCATGATAAAATGTTTTTTGTAGTATGAAACCAAAATCCGATTACATACCGAGAAGAAGAAGCAATACTGAACATAATTGATTTGACAACAGATATAACTAGGCTACTTCGTCATTCCTATTTAATGAATATTCAGGTGTCATAAATCGTTGATGCATATCTGCAAAATTAATGAATACAACGTTTGTAAATGTAAGCTCCCATATTTCAGAGCTCAAACATTTGAAATTTGATTAAACAATATCGCAATTTTTTACCCAAGTCGCTTTGTTTGTTTCATAACGTATTTGTAGCTAAAATTCAGTGTTTGAAACTATTTGAATAAAATAGTTGTTTTCTTTGACGCTGTGCAATGTAATAAATAGTTAGCTGTTGTGATTGAACCTAAAAAGACATTACGTTAGGAAAAGGATCGATACTTTAAGAGAGATAACTACATATGTTACAGTTAGATAATAATGTATTTCGTGAAATGTTATTTATTCTGTTAGAATTGTAATGATTTTATCACGAGTTTGCATATTTTGCTTCGATGTCATATTTACAATGACATACAAACAAATGTGACCACTGGAATTAGTTTATTATGCTACAAATATTATACATATACTGCAGTTTTTATTAAAATGAGTGATTGGTCCCCTGTTTTTATATCTACAATATATATAACATCCTATCTCACTAGTGCTGCCTCGATGGATGGATTTCTTGCATGAAGGTCACCCACTGTCCTGTCCTTTCCAACAAAAATGTATAATCGAACGTTAGGCAGTGTGACTACAGCTTTGATATCATGCATATGGCAGCCACTTTTATTGTTTTGTTTTTGTTTGTTGTTTAACGCCGCACTCAGCAATATTCCAGCTATATGACGGCGGCCTATAATAGAGGCTGGCCCAGACAATCCAGTGATTGACATCATGAGCATTGATCAACGAAATTAGGATACGATGACATGCATCAACCAAGTCTGACCACCCGATCCCGTTAGTCGTCTTTTACGACAAGCATAGTCGCCTTTTACGGCAAGCATGGGTTGCCGAAACCTTTTCTACCCCGGATCTTCACGGGTCTCAGTTTTAGTATTGAATAGAGTAAGTAAAATACTTTTGTAATGCGACTTCACATTTTGAGTGCCCCGTGACTCTAATCAAAGCAGAGAATGGTAAGCTCGTTGTAACAGGTGCTTTCGTCTCTCGGAGGTTGATTCCCATAATGTATGAGGGGCAATGGGGTAGCCTAGGGGTAAAACGTTCGCTCGTCGCGCCGAAGGCCCGGGTTCAATTCCCAACATGGGTAATATGTGTGAAGGCCATTTCTGGTGTACACCGCCGTGATATTGCTGGGATATTGCCAAAAGCGGTGTACAAAGATACTCACGCACTCACTCATAATGTATGAAACCCATTATCGATGTCTCCCGACATGATTTTGCCGCAATATTGAAACAAAACCCGACTTAAATTCTATCAAATTAACTCTAAGTTGGCCAAGGATGATATCAATTCCGAAAGAACATTATTGCTTATTAATCAGGCAGAGTGATGAATGGATTTGTGGACATTTTCCCCGCGATGAAAACAAGAATAACATAAAGGCATCTGATAATGAATGTTTGTTTATTCGTTTATTGTTTAATGTCGTACTCAGGAATATTCCAGTTTTATGACGCTGGCCTGTAAATAATTGAGTCTGGATCAGACAATCAATGATTGACATGAGCATCGGTCTACGCAATTGGGATACGATGACATGCATCAACCAAGTCGGTTATTCATATTTGGTTGATACCCCAGTTGATAGACATTTCAGTAGGGTTGGCTTGACAAAACTGTTCAGATTTACCTATTGTGGTTATGGATTAGTCCTAATAGACATAAAACGCCGTGATATAACTGAAATATTGTTAAAATCGGTGTTAAACTCACTCGTTTTTAAATTACTTAAATCTAAATAAATAAAGACGTTTGAAGTTAATGGGTACAATATTTGATCTAAGACACAACAGGTTCATATATTGTTTAATATTCTACCCGTATAAATTTAACTAATGAACCATTTGATCATGAAAACAACCTAAAGTTTAAAGTTCTCACCTCAGTTCTCCCTAACGAGGGCGGTCGGGTAGCCTAGTGGTTAAAGCGTTCGCTCATCACGCCGAAGATCCGGGTTCGATTCCCGACATGGGTACAATGTGTGAAGCCCATTTCTGGTGTCCCCCGCCGTGATATTGCTGGAATATTGCTAAAAGCGGCGTAAAACCATACTCACTTACTCACTCACTCTCCCTAACGAGAGGATTGAGTTTTCTGCATGTATTGTCAGAGATATCTGAATTTGTCACAAACATAACAGGTTGACTTTGTTACATACAAAGAGGTGGCAACAGTGGCAATACTGACATTCTTTCATCACAAAAGAAGTAAAGAAATGTATTTATTTTGGTATAATGTTTGTAACCTTCGTTAATTGACTTTTATGAAAAATACTCATATTAATTCTTTTTAAATCTGAAGTCAACATCAAATGTCATTACCAAAAACATCTTAATTAGTTAGAATTAATCTCAGAAGTAGATCTGCTATAAGATACAGTCTGGTTATTTATAGTAAGTTTAGTAACATATAACTTGATTATATACTCAATACCACAAGGCACACCAAGGTGAATACGTCAGAAAATGTTATAATGGACAGATTTCTAAAGTGCTTTGTCTTATATGAAACAGACCGAAAATTGTGTTTAAAACAAATAAACTTTGAAATAATGACTTCCAAAATAAGGAGACTCAACATGAGAAAATGTTTTTTTAATGATATAATATATCCTATTGACAGTGTTGTAACACAAGAAGTAAAAATTATTTTCATCTAACAAGAGAATAGCGAGTTTCAGTCAGTAATAATAATAGGTCTTATATTCTCATAAGGGTGTCACGGGGCATGATCGGGACAAATTGAATAGTGGGAGAACTCAGCCGTGGCATTTGTGATTTTAAGATTACTGACAAATGAGGGGAGACCACCTAGGGTTACAGGCCGCCTAAGCCACATTTCGAAAATAGATAGCCAAAATTGATGTGGCTCGCGGGGCAATTGTTACGGTTGCGTGATTTTGGAATGTGGCTCTCGTGGCTATGCTGTCAAAACATGCTTTGTGATTCTAACAGGTTACCGTATTTAACAAAACAAGCCTTGTTTTCTCATTTTTTATTCAGATCATAACAGGGATAATATATTCATCAAAACATTACATTGATGGATATCATGACAGGTCATATTACATTGTCACATTACAGGTCACGATTGTGTAATGAATTGTTGTGTAGCACATCTAAAACACTGACAATGTTTGCACTTACATGTAAGACGCAGATGTATTACGCTACTGCATGACCTGATGATGCCGAACACTACCATAATGTCATAAGTGCAGATGAAGGAGGTCGCCCACGTGGTCAGCATATTCCATCTCACTCAATGATGCCTCCTCTGCCCCTTTCAATGAAAGCCAGCAAGCCTTACCACTCCACCCGATCCCGTTATTCAACTCTTACGACAATCACGGGTTGCTGAAGACCAACTCTAACCTGGATTTACACAGGACGTTTGACCTATGAGACACACTTGTAAAAACATTAAGTTCAGGATCTTACAAAATGAGATGATAATAAATATCACACATTTACTGAAGCATAATAAAGAGCAATATTGTCACATCCTCTCATACACATTCAAACTCCTCTGATACACATTCAAACTGTCACGCTATCTATACGCACCTGCTTACTTGCATACACACCATACAAACACGCAACTACATATAAGCATATATGCATGCATACGATTTGCATAATTATACACGCCGCAAATGCAGTCTTCCGATATGTATATGCGCACGCACGCACGCACGCATGCACGCACTCGGGGGGGGGGGGGGGGGGGGGGGGGGGATCGGGGGATGTAACAATGCCGAGGTTATCATCATCATCATCCTGCTCCTGGTCCTCATCCCCAAAAACAGCGTGGCGTGGCGTGGCGTGGCGTGGCGTGGCGGTGGTGTGGTGTGGTGCGGTGTGTGGTGTGGTGTGGTGTGGTGTGGTGTGGTGTGGTGTGGTGTGGTGTGGTGTGGTGTGGTGTGGTGGTGGTGGTGGTGCTGTGTGTGTGTGTGTGCGCGTGCGATGTGCGTGTGTAGAATTGTCCATTAGGGTAAGTGTAAGTTTCACCACAATCCTTTATTTTTCAATTCATTCAGGTAGCTCAGAAGTACATTTGCTTTCGCCACATTCATCCCAAGTCCATAATGTTCACCATCAAAACTCGTCATTCCGTCAGTCATGTTAAAGGTGTCGAAAACTGGAATTTCCCATGATTTAAGGAAAGGATCAATGTTGCCATTGTAACGTTTAACACTCTCATAAGACTGAGCTAACAGTTTCGGGGACTTCATCATACCTGGGGCATGGCTAGTTGCCCACAGAACCTTTGGCCAATATCTCTTATTGCTCCTCTTGTAATTCAGTGTTGGTAAAAGAAACTTTGTTTGAACTAGTGTATGATCATAGTTATTATGAATTCCTATACCAACCAACAGCAATGACTTGCTGTTTAAATTGATAACACGTTGTTTCAATTGCTGGCCATGGTCTGCAGAAAAGAGGTACTGCATTTCCAGTTTAACTGTACCATTACAAGCTTGAAGAGTGTACTTCAGATGCAGTCGACATACTTTCTCTGTGAACATATCCATTCCGCTGCATAAATTTCTTATATCTGAAAGACACCAAGCAAACATTTATTGAGAAACTTTAACATATTAATGCAAATACACATTTAAGTACACAACATAAACTCATCAATACATTTTTTATTTCACCCATTGCGGTTTTCAAGTGTGTATGTTACCGTCAAGCATTCTCGTTAAAGTTGGCATTGTGCGTTGAAAGAAGATATATTTTCAAAAACCACACTTTAAACTGCATCTTTTTCTAAAGTAAGCAAAGCTAAACATATGGCACGTTCTCACTTACCCTGTGGAACATTATCATTCATAGCACCATCTTTCATATTCCCTGTAACAAGCAGTACCATAGCTGTATATACATGACGAACAAGAGAATCCCCAACAAACAGAATCGTGCTTCCGCTGAGGATGCTGCAAGCTTCGTGGGGGCTGTGTTCCTTGTAGCCATGTCTTGGGTCTGAAGGGGTCCAGGTGGAATATTCAGCATGTTTCTGGTTCCGCATGTCATAGCAATCAGGACACACACATTCCTCCACAGACTTCATAGCACATTTATTGTTGAAGCAGCACGGGGTTGTTCCTTTAGGATCACACAAGGCTTTAATAAACCCAGCAGCTTCAGATCCGGTGTGGGTAACATTTCCACAGAGACCGTCAATCCTTTGATAATTCTTTGGTAAGCGGAATCGAGCATTTGCGTTTGAAAGAAATTTCATTATATCATCATCTTCCTTTTTTGTCAAAGGACGTGTTTTCCAGTGTCCTTTCAACAAATGAGACAGTGTGCTCAAAGATATTTCATATGGAGAAAGAATTTTTGCATTTTTAGTAGATGGAGGATGCTTTGCAAATCTGGTCCAAGTAATGAAAATCACTGTTGTCGCCACCACTATTACTAGCAGTTTCTTCTTTGACCCCATGGTTCCTGAAACCAGCAACAGAGGAACGAAGAGGAGAGAATGAGTCGATTGCCCGATTACAACTACATAAGCATGTTAATATTAAACACTATCAAATACAAGGTGTTCGCGAAGAGGTGAGCGTATCCTGCCCCACAACTGCCATTCGTCACAAAGACATACAACGACAAGTCAAATGTTCACCTGAAAAAAAGTCAAAATAAAGAGTTACTTAATTTTGTATCAATGTTTACCATACAAGGTTTTGAAGATGATTGAGAGCAAGCATCCTTGATTATCCGCCGAAACAGATTCAACCTGTCGCAATGGGCAAGATAGATGTGAAAACTATTTGAATGGATCAGTGAAAAACCAGTGATGACACCAGGTGCTCGCGAAAAAGGTAAGCATATCCTTCCCAACCGATACCACCCGTTATTTACACAATTGCATAAACACGGCAGTATGTATTGCCTGACGCCGCATAGCAGTACCCTACCATAAGAAGGAGGCCTACATGTATAAACAATCCAGACGATCAAGTGATCGATGGAACAGGAAATCCGGTGACACGATGTGATTGATTTTCAAAAAATATGCACACCTTTTTCATAACTTTTGTTTCCCCTTTCAAACTACACCAAATGGCCCGGCCGGGCCCGTGTGCGAAATACGCTTCAGTCGGAAAGCGCACGTAAAATCTCCTAGTATAAGTAAGTAAGTAAGTGTAGTATGGGTGACTGGGTGAGCTGTGTTTAACTGTTTTTACGCTTTTAGGTTTGTTTTAGGGTGTTTGTTTGTCTTAGCTAAGAGATTTGAGAGTATTTGGTTTTTTAGCGGGCTTGGGTGTGAGTAATTTTAACTAAGTTGTGTGGGTGTGTTGTTATAATTACCGAGGGTTGCTCTTGGGCTGGCTAGCAGTGGGTACTGTGCTGGCTTGGGAGGCTTGGCTGGGTGAGAGTGGCTTGGTGGCTGGAGCGCTTGGATGGCTTGGTAGGGTGGAGAGTTGTTGCTAGCAATATGCTTACTTACTTACTTACTTTGGAGATTTAACGTGCGCTTTCCGACTGATGCGTATTTCGCACACGGGCCCGGCCAGGCCATTTAATGTGTTTCCGAAAGGGGCGAAAGTGGTGTGTGCAACCCAAGAGGGGGCTTTAGGGGCTGCTTATATAGAATTTGGGAATTTTGAGATTTGGAATAGATGCCGATGGGGTAGGGGAGGAGAACTAAGGGAGCTGGGTATGGTGGATGTTTGTGTGTTTATGTAATTTTGATTTGGTTGATTATAGTGTTTTTAGATGCGTTTTATTAGTTCCGTTTTGATTAAGAATACGCCTAAGGCCTTGAAGTTTTCTAGTTTATTTTGTGGGTTTAGTATTGCTTCTAGAGTGAGCGCCTTGTTTAGATTGAGGGTGGTTTGTAATGCGGTTCGATGTGTTAGGTAGTGTGTGCAGTAGATGAGTGCGTGTTCTGGGGTTTCTAGTTGTTTGCAGTGTGGGCAGTTACCTGTAGTATGTTTTTTTATTTTTTTTAGGTGGTTATTTAGGTTGGTGTGTCCTGTTTGGAGTTTAGTGATTACTCTGTCGATTTCTTTGGATGGATGGTGAATTTTTGGTTTGGTTAGTGGTTTGCTGAGTACTTTTTTTATTTGGCTATTTGAGTTTAGGTATAGGTTATGCCATTTTTTGGTGATTTTTTGCTTATTTACACTTTTAATTTCTGATTTTGAGATGGGTAAGTTTAAGCTTATTTCTGGGATTTTGAGGGATATTTTAGCTGCCTTATCGGCGTTTTCATTACCGTATATTCCTACGTGGGCGGGTATCCACAAGAAGGTTATTTGTTTGCCTGCGTTAGTTAGGTCGTTGGAGCTTTTAAGTATTAGATTTATTAATTGAGGTCGGTTTTTGGTATTTTTGTTTTGGAGGGCTTGCAGTCCACTTAGGGAGTCGGTAAGTATTAGGATTTTATTGTGGTTTTTGGATTCTTGACTATGGAGGGCTGAGGCCATGCCCATTAGTTCTGCCGTGAATATTGATTGGTTGTTTGGGAGTCGGAAGGATTGTGTGGTTTTAGTTGGTTGTGTGGTATGGACTCCGAAACCTGTGTGTTTGGAGGTCGGATCTGAAGATCCGTCCGTGTAAATGTGACACCAATTTGGCCAATTTTCGTGTATGTATGCTAGTGTGGTGGTTTTAGCTATGTTTGGGTCGGTTTGTTTATTTATTTGGCTAGCTAGTGTTGTGTCTATTTTGGGTATTTTAAGTTTAGGGGTGAAGATATTTGATTGTTTGCAGTTTTGTTTAAGATTTTTAATTTGGTGTTCATTTAGGTAGTTTGTTATTCTTTGGGATATTGGGGTAAGTAAGGGGTGTTTACGGGCTAGAGCTTGGTTTTTGGGGCTGATATTTTGGTTTATTAAGTTTTGGATTAGAGGGTTTGATTGGGATGCGGCCCAGAAATTTAAGCTTAGCTGTTCCCTGCGTAGACTTAGTGGCATTTCTCCTGTTAAGGCCTGAAGTGAAGTGTAGGAGGTGCCATGTTGGGTGCGTGTAATTAGTGTCAGAGCCTGATATTGTATTGAGTCAAGTTTTTTAGATAGGGAGTTGTTTAGGGTGTTGTATATGGCGCAGCCGTAGTCTAGTTTTGATCTAATTAGTGATATGTAGAGTGAGAGGAGGGTATCTTTGGAGGCTCCCCAGTTTGAGCCAGTGAGGCATCTTAGGGTGTTTAGGTCTTTACTGCATTTAGTTGTTAGGTTTTGGATGTGAGCATCCCAGGTGAGATGTTCATCGAAAATAAGTCCTAAGAATTTGGTTTGTTTTTGAAATTTGATTGTTTGGTTGTTTAGCTGGAGGATTGGGGAGGCGGGTTTCATGTTTTTATGTTTGAATACTATTCCTGTTGTTTTTTCTGAGTTAAGGGAGAAGCCCCATTTGTCAGCCCATTGTTGTATTTTATTGAGAGATTTTTGGAGTAAATTTTGGGCCATTTTAATGCTTTTAGTGCGGATCCAGAGGGCTCCATCATCCGCGAATTTGGATGTGTTTATTTTAGGGGATAGGCCCTCGAAGAGATCGTTTATCATTATATTAAAGAGTGTGGGGCTGAGGATACTGCCCTGGGGAGTGCCATTTTCTAGGGGACACTGGTCCGATAGAGTATGGTCTATCCCCACTGTTATTTTACGTTCGTTTAGAAAGTCCTGAATGTAGTTTATTATTTGTCCTTTTAGTCCTATTTTTTTAAGTTTTTGTATTAGCCCGTTGTGCCAAACCATGTCGAATGCTTTGGAGAAATCCAGAAAGATGCCTGTTGTGTATTGTTTGTTGGGTTGTCCTGTCTTGATGTCCTGTTCTAGTCGGGCGAGATTATCAAAGGTTGAGCGGCCAGGAGTGAAACCGCTTTGATCTGTGTTTATGATGTTATTTTGAGTTAAGTAGTGTTGTAGTCTATTTTTGGCCATAGATTCCATTACTTTACATAGGTTTGAGGTTAGGGATATTGGTCTATAAGAATTTGCCTGGTTAGTTGGTTTATCGGGTTTAGGGATAGGGATGACTAGTGCCTGTTTCCAGGGAGTTGGTACCTGTCCGTTTTGATAGATTAGATTATATAGTTTAAGTAGTGCCTGGAGTAGGTTGGGGGGGGGGGGGGGGGGGGGGGGGGAGTTTTTTTATTATTTGGTAGGATGTTAGGTCTAGTCCTGGGGCAGTTCCCTTTTTCCTATTTTGGAGTACGTACTGGAGTTCTTCCATTGAGTAAGGTTGGTTTATTTCGAGGTTATCATTGTTTTTGTTGAAATTTTTCGCTGAAGTTATTGTTGCTGCTTATGGCCGAGAAGTGGTTTGCTAGGTTATTTGCCTTTTCGGTAGGGTTGGTTGAATTGTTTATGTTGGGTGTTTTTTTGTGACGTTTTAAGCCTCTAATGGCGTGGAATTTTCGCCAGACTGTTCTGGCATCTGTGTGATTATTTACTCCTTCACAAAATAATTTCCAATCTTTGGTTTTAGCTATTTTGACTAGTTTTTGGACCTTGTGGTTTAGTTCGTGAGCTACCGTTATATGGTTATGGTCGCGTTTGGCTCTATTGAAGGCTGTTTTACGTTTGCGTCTAGTTTGTTCTATTTCCTCGTTCCACCATGGTACCGAGGGTTTGCCTACGTTATTTGTTTTATAAGGTATTGATGCTTTGGCTGCGTTAATTATGTAGTCTGTTAGGTTTTTGCAGTAGATTTCTGGGTCCTTATTTTCTAGTTTGGTTAGGTTGGCTTGGTTGCAGATATCCTGAAATTTGTCCCAGTTAGCTTGGTTATAGTTGAATTTTGGTTCTAGGTTTTCTGTTTGGGTAGGAACGTTTGTATTGCCTATGGTAATGTTTATAGGCAAGTGGTCACTACCTAGTGGGGCGTCGTGAACTTCCCATTGAGTACTTTGGGCCAGATCTGGGGTGCATATGGTTAGGTCGATAGCCGACATTTTATGGTTTTTCTTATCGTATCTAGTTGGTTGGTTATTGTTTAGGAGTACAAGGTTATTTGTTTCTATCCATTCAGAGATTAGTTTGCCATGATTATCTATTTTTTCATCTATGCTCCAGGTGGGGTGGTGAGCGTTAAAGTCTCCTAGGAATAAAGTTGATTTATTGCTTATTTGCAGTAATTTGTTTAGGTCCTCAGCTTGAATATTTTGTTCTGCCCAGTGGTATATGTTAATGATGTTTATTTTTTGGTTTTTGAGAGTTATTTGGATGCCGTTTGCTTCTAGGTTTGGTGTGTTTATTTTGATTTCTTCATAGTTAATGTCTTCTCTGATTAGTATTATTAATCCTCCTGCGGCTCTAGCGGTTTTAGGTTTGGCTCGGTCTGTTCTAACTGAGTTGTAGTTTGGTAGAGTAAATTTAGATTTTTTTGAGAATTTGGTTTCTTGGATACAGGCAATGTGCGGACCCTTATCTTGTTTAAATTTTGCTTTTAGTTCGTGGCCGTGGGAATTTAGTCCGTTGGCATTCCACTGAAATATGTTTAGGCCTTCCATTATTTGGGCTTTTAGTGTTTGGAGGTTAGGTTTGATTTAGGCTAGGGTTTTTACTTGGTTGAGGTAGGGCTAACTAATTCGAGGCCTATGCTGAAGAATTCGTAGGTAAGGGTTGTCAGTTTAAGCTTATTTGCTACGGTATAGAAAGCTTTAGTGCTAGCGTT